GTAAGTAAAGATAATCAAGGCTCACATTAATGTGAAGAAAAAGCAACACAAAACACCAACAATGCACATTTACTGACTAGGATCAAGTTGACACTTCTGATCTCCGAAATAAAGTTGTCTCCAAGGACCATGATCATCTTGACATTTTGGAGCATTTCAATGGCCCACTTATACCAGTGATATAGTGTTAGTGAACAGAAAGTAGCCAATACTATGGCTGCTTTAGATATATTTGGTCCAAAGCGTTAAACATAAAGAGAAAAAGATTCAGGGGCTGTTATATTGGTGAAGTGATGTGGGGTCCAGTTGTCTGGGGTGAATTTAAGAAGAAAACCAAATTATAGCACTTGACCACTCAGAAAGCGGCTCAGTGCTTCTTGGGCCTCTGGATTTTGGACACAGTCCGTTTTGGGTGGAGACCAGAGCAAGAAGGGACTTTACAGCAGGCTTGGGTTGCACTGCAACCTCCCCTGAAGTTTGTGCTGAAGGACTCAGCAGACCCAGTGATGCTGGAGGTATCCATGGTGGAGAGGATGCTGTTTCGTGTTTGATGAGCTTCAGTGGGAGGATCGCAGCAGGCTTATAAGGTTCTGGGCATCGTCATGCCTTCGGTAGTACAAAACCACTCTCCCTGGGAAGAGGAGCTCCGTGAAGGCTACTGTGCCATTGTCGCCCCTGAGCCCCTGGCCATAGGATACCAAGTGACTGAGAAGGGAGTGGCTCACCAGGGCCTGGGCATCGTCATTGTCACTGAATCATAAGGAGCTGCCACAATCCATTGTGTGATGAAAATGGTTCCTGAGAATCAGGCCCAAGGAAGTCCAGAAGGTGGCACTAGTGCTTCTTCCTTAATTCATGCACATGGCCTCACAGCAGCTTCCAGGTGATCTGATGTTGGAATTTAGGGTTTGGTTCATGGACAGGATTGATCAGTATACTGTGGGAAAAAGAAATTGGATAGCCCTGACAGTGTGGCCAAGTGGTCAGAGTGTCAGTCCACACATTGAAGGGTCACAGGTTTGATTCTGGTAAAGGGCTCCTACCTGGGTTGTAGGTCTGATCCCCAGCTCAGTATCTCTCTCTCTCTCTCTCTCTTCCCCCTCTCTCTCTTTTTCTATCTCTATCATCTCTATCTCTATCTCTATCTCTATCTCTATCTCTATCTCTATCTCTATCTCTCTATCTCTATCCCTCCTTCCTTCCCTCCCCCAGTCTCTTTATTTTTAAAAATACATTTTATTTATTTTATTTTTAAAAAATATATTTTATTGAATTTTTTACAGAGAGGAAGAGAGAAGGATAGAGAGTTGGAAACATCGATGAGAGAGAATAACCTATCAGCTGCCTCTTGCACACCCCCTACTGGGGATGTGCCCACAGCCAAGGTACATGCCGTTGACCAGAATCGAACCTAGGACCTGTCAGTCCCCAGGCCAACGCTCTATCCACTGAGCCAAACCGGTTTCGGCCCTCCCCCAGTCTCTTTAAAAATCAATGGGAAAAATATTCTGAGATGAGGATTAACAAAAGAAAAGAAAAGAAAAGGAGAGAGAGAGAGAGAGAGAGAGAGAGAGAGAGAGAGAGAGAGAGAGAGAGAAAGAAAGAGAGAGAGAGAAAGGGGGGGATAGAGGGAGGGAGGGAGGAAAGAAGGAGGAAGGAGGAATGAAGTAAGGCGGTCGATTCCTCAGAACGGCGGCCTGGCGGACAGCTTCCCTTTTTCTCTCTCCAGACCCCTCCGTCACTACGAGGGAAAATCCTTTCAGTGGACAAAACTGCAACTGGTACACTTGATAGTACACTTTATATGAGAAGAAAAGTAGCCAGAAAACACAGGCTCAGGGCAGGGGGAAATGCTGTGCTTAGTTGGTCAGGGGCATGAAACCAGCAGGAGTGGAGGGTTAGAGACGTGTGCATGGAAGTAGGCATAGTGTGAGAGAGCATCCATTCTAGGGGAGATGCCCAGTAACCAGGTGAACAGGACGATTTGCCCAGTGAATACCAGCCAGTATCTTCCCTTGGCCACCGAATGCTTAAGCAACGGACCTGTCAACAGATAGCTATTCTGGTAGGGATCGAGTCTGTGCATTGGACCAGCGGAGAGAACAGCCTCTCACCACGGATGACCTCCTGGCTGCTGCTGCTGAATGCCCAACACGTTAGCGTCAGGGAACTGAGGACACTGAGCCCTCAGGGGAGGGCATCGGCCAGCTGCTTGGTTGCAGGTGGATTACATAGACCTCTTCCATCTTGGAGGTGGCAATGCAGATGGTACGTCAATTCATATCTGGTCTTTATTGTTTGAGGGCAGATATGCTTTTGAGATTAAAACATAAAGAGAATATATAAACTCCTTTAAGGTATTTATGGTTTAAACCTAATTACTGATAAACTATTTGGACTCATTTCCTCTGGCTCTTTAAAAAAAATTTTTATTTTTATTTTTATTGTTGACATCGTTACAGGTGCCTCTCCACCCTGACACCCCCCCACCCCTCCACCCCACGGCTCTGGCTCTTCCTTAGAGGATCTGAGACAGGACAGTGTGACGTTTTTAAAAAGCTTAAAAAGACTGTAAAGGGCTTCTTCATAAATGAAAAGTCCCGGTTCGCACTTTCCCCTCAGGTTCTCTGGCATATCTACACCCCCCTACATACCCAGCATTGCTCTCTTCCCACCAGCACATGGTGAAATGGAGTTTGCCCAGTCTCATGAAGGATTCTGACATTTTGAACCAGCTCTATCTCTATAGTAACATTAATTAAATCAACCAATGACTGAGGACATCCTACTTGTTAGTCATGGCATGGGTGTTTTTCATAAGGTCTTCCATTTGCTGGTCAGAACCACTGTACAGGGTAAATACTATAATCATGACGTTGTTGGTGAGAACGCCGGGATCAGAGAAATTAAGTAACTTGTCCACAGCTGGTCAGTTGTGCATCTGGGATAGAATCCAGCTGTGGTTAACCACAGCGCATACAAGAGTCTCACTGGTTTTTGAACTTCAGAGCTACATACTCCACTGAGTCCATTGCACTTAGTATGCCCCAAGGATTACTTTCTGTCCTTTGTTTTTGTTTTTGTTTTCCTTCCTTCCTTCCTTCCTTCCTTCCTTCCTTCCTTCCTTCCTTCCTTCCTTCCTTCCTTCCTTCCTTCCTTCCTTCCTTCCTTCCTTCCTTTCTTTTTAAAGAATCACTATGCCACTGTGGCATATTTTAAAAAAATAACTGTTTGGATTTTTTAAGTTTTTTATTTATTTTATTGATTTTCCACAGAGAGGAAGGGAGAGGGATAGCGAGCTAGAAACGTCAACCAGCTGCTTCTTGCACCCCCCCCTACCGGGGATGTGCCCGCAACCAATGTACATGCCCTTGATCGGAATCGAACCTGGGACCTTTCAATCCGCAGACCGACACTCTATCCACTGAGCCAAACCAGTTTCAGCCATCTGTTGTTTTTCATCATGTGTTTTTTACATTGTTCCTCTATATCAGACTTCAAACCACCTCCACAGGCACAGATTTTGATTCATTTACTTGCCACAGAGACCACTTGGCATACGTTTTGATAACTCAAGGCTGTTGCTTCTGCCTAACTTGGTTCAGGACACTATGACCTAAAGAGATAATAAACAAATATTGCCTCCATGGGTCCAGGAAAGAGCAGTGCTGGTCAGCCATTAGGCTAGACCACAAGGTGCAGTTTCCACTCCTGGCCACCAGATGACAGAGGCACTCAGGGCAGCGCGGCCAGGAGGCTGAGGGTTTCAGGTGAGGCTTCCCATAGAGCTGAGGGCCAAAGACAAAGGGTTTGGTGACAGCGTTCTCAGCAGGCAGGACCAGTTGTTTGGGCGAATATAATTTTTAAAGGTAGAAAATAGAATTCACTGGTGAGTGGCAAACAGGCTCACTTTGGTTTTGACAGAGATTCATACCAGGAAAATGAAATTTAGAAAAGTATTATACATGCCTGTGTGTGTGTGTGTGTGTGTGTGTGTGTGTGTGTGTGTTGGAGGTGGGGGCCCTTGAAAATGATAATTTCAAAGAATCAAGGTAAAAAAAAAAAGAGATGAACGAGTAAACTAGAGAACAGGCTGGATATGATCACAAGGTAAGATGCAGAAGAAGTGATCAGTATTTCAGGGGGAGGTTTGTAATGGGAGTGAACTTCAGGTATGACAGGTTCCTGAAGGGATTCTTTATTTATTTATTTATTTATTTATTTATTTATTTATTTATTTATTTATTTATTTATTTATTTTAAGCACTGGAGACCCATTTGACAGGCTGGTGAAATTTATGGACCCTGTGGTAGATTCTATTTTATAAAAAATGTCCTCAACTATCATACTTCAGTGTGGTTAAGGTATATGAAATGCAGAATATGGGCAAATCCTGAGGTAAATGGGAGAAATAAGTGCCAACATTTGCACCTGGTTGAGCCCTTTGCCATTTTGGGTCATAGTTCTGTGAGGTCTGGTTTGCTGATATCTGGCTTACTTTTCCCATGGTATTTGTTAAATCAGTTCTTCTATACTGTAAATTACCCCAAAAGAGCAAAGCAGTTCCCTTTGGAAATCAAATGAATACTTCCAGGTCATTGGGTGTCTTGCAATACAGTACACTTGTCACTAATATCATGGACTATGGGAATATTTAGGAAAACTAGTGAACTGGAGACAATGTACATAATTCGACTCTGGGAAATCGCTCCCATTTTTACTTATTTGTAGCCATGAAATCATCGGAAGGGGAGTTAAACAGAAAGAGGAGAGGCGAGAGATGGTATTGAAAGGATGTTTCTGAGATGAGTTGGAGTTGGTGGGGGAGAGGTTGGGCACCTTGAGAGCCCAAATCGGTTTCAGACCATAACTCTTTACAACCTGCAGAGGTCTGAGGTTTCCGTAGAGGGCGGATGGATGGTGGCTGCCATCCTGTGCTGACCAGGTGAGGCGTTGAGACTGACTGATTAGTCAAGCAATCTGGACAAGGACTTCTGGGTCAGAAATTGCACAAAGGATGATGGCAGCAGCGAGAAATCTGGAGCATGTGGTGGATCATCCTTTTCTTGAAGCAATCAGTGTAGGTTTCTGTGCAGCCTTTAATAGAAAACCAGGGAATTCCACCTGAGGGCAACAAAGAGGTAGAGAGGTAGAGACAGTCTTCAGCGAGGTACAACCTACCTGACCTCAGATAACAGCTTAAAAAATAAACAGTGCCCTCACTGGTTTGGCTCAGTGGGTGGAGCACTGGAAGGGTCACAGGTTCGATTCCGGTCCAGGGCACATGCTCAGGTTGCGGGCTCGATCCCCAGTAATGGGCGTGCAGGAGGCAGTTTATTCTTTCTCATCATTAATGTTCCTCTCGCTCTCTCTCTCTCTCTCTCTCTCTCTCTCTCTCTTCCCTCCCTTTCTCTCTAAACTCAATAAAATATATATTCAAAAAAATAAAATGGCCCTAGCCGATGTGGCTCAGTGGATAGAGCATTGGCCTGTGGGCTGAAGGGCCCCAGATTTGATTCTGGTCAAAGGCACATGCTGGGGTTATGGGCTTGATCCCCAGTGGGGGGAGGGGGGAGGGGGCGCATGCGGGAGGCAGCCAATCAGTGATTCTCTGTCATCATTGATGTTTCTATTTCTCTCTCTCCCTCTCCCTTCCTCTCTGAAACCAATAAAGAAATGTATATTTTTAAAAAATAAAATAATAAACAACAACAACAAACACTAAGCAAAAGTCTATGTTTATCTTGATACAATCATCTTGCCTTTAAGAACTCCCACCTACAGTATTCTGAGTACGTACAACAGCCCTGAAATTGCAAAACAAAAAAGCTTTCAAACTCAAGGTAAAAGCCATGCGATTGCCATTGACTGTGTAAAATTGTTGAATGGTTAGCGGTTTGGAAGCTTCCTAATGTCCCCCAGTTTAACCCAGGCCATGAATTATTCAAAGGGCTGAGTCCTCAGAAGGACCATTTAGATGTGTGTTTCTCAAAAGTGAGGTGCATCCTTGACTTCACTTAATTTCCCCCCTGATTATAGCAGTAATGCACGTTCACTGTAGAAACTGAGAAAAATGTACAAAAATGCAAAGTCAGTGACAGCAGTGTCCTGTACTTAGCATCCCAGCTTCGGCTGGGAGAACACAGACGAGTGATTCCCCCAAAACAGCAAAACATGAGATGGTTGGAAATTTGAGCAAACAGTAGTCTCTTGATGGGGGTGGGGGGCATTTTGAGATGCCCTGCACAACCAACAGATATCCTGCCAGTTGTCAACAGTATCAAAGACGAGAAACCCTGTTGATGAAACTGTCCAGAGGGTGAATGCCATCTCCATTGGTCTCACATCCTTGTGATACGGCCACATCTCCGGGCGAGGAAACCACTTGTCACAGTGTCGCAGGCATAGGGCCTTGGCCTGCCAAGAACTGTTGTCAGTGTTGTGCTACATGAGCCTCCAGGCTCGTTCATCTGTGCGAAGCCCTTTAACGCTTGTTTTCTTGAACAGATTGTCAAAACTCGGAGGGAAGGCAGGGGAGGGGGCTGGTGGAGGAAATCAACCAATAAACTCATATGCACACGTGCATAGCCTATGGACATAGACAACAGGGTGGGGAAGGCCTGGGGTGGGGGGTAGGGATGGGTTGGGAGAGGTCAATGGGAGGGAAAGGGGGACATATATAATACTTTCAACAATAAAGATTAAAAAACACACACAACTTGTTTTGATGGCAATCTCATTAAGGAAGAGAGGGGGGACTCCAGGGAGCCTTGGCACGTTTCTCCTTCAAAAGGAAGGGGCCCTGACTGGAAAAGGTGCAAGTCACAGGAAACTTTAGGCGCAGAGAGGGGACCCAGACTGGACAGGCTGAACAAAGATCAAGAAATCTCCTTAACCAATAACCCCAGCAGATATGACCCCAAATTCCATTCCTTTTTTCCCAACTCACTTTGATCTCCTCTGATTGTTATTCTCCTTTTCCACGTCCATAGGGAAATTAGAGTTTTCCTTTGTGGAGAGTTCTGTTCATAAGTGATACACTATACATAACTGTTTTGTACCTTTTTTTTTTTTTTCTACTCAACAAATGTTTCAGAAGTTTTCCTATGTTAACAAAGGGATCTAGTTTATTCTAAGTGTTGCCTAGAATTTCATGGTGTGAATGTATCATAATAACAACCATAGGCAAACAGTTAGGTTATTTCCATTACTTTACTATTAAATATGAGGTTGCAATGAGTCCAGCCAGAGTGGCTCAGTGGTTGAGCTTCAACCTATGAACCAGGAAGTGAAGTTTCAATTTTCGGACAGGGCATATGCCGTGATTGTGGGCTCGACCCCCATTGTGGGGCATGCAGGAAGCAGCTGATCAATGATTCACTCTAATCACTGATGTTTCCTTATCTCTCTGCCTCTCCCATCCTCTCTAATATCAATAAAACTATATTTAATAATCTTAATACACGCCTTTTTGTGTTCCATGTAACTTCATTTCTCTATAATAGATACCAAGAAATAGAATTGCTTTCTACACGACATTGCTCATTTAAAATTTTAATGAGGTTGTCTAAAATGCTAAACCAATCTATTATAAACTGTCATTGGCAACGTATGAGAGTTCCCATTTCCACATACTGTCACTACAACTTGATATTATAAAACCTTTACAATTTTTACCAATATGATGGGTAAAAATATATTATTTCTGTAACTTGAATCTCTTTTGATATTCACTGATGAGTTGTGCATATTTTTATGTTTTCAGGTCAGGTCATTTCTGTTTTCTCCTTTACATTTCCTTTAACAAGGATTCCCGTCCCCCCCCCCCCAACCCCCCAAATTACTGGCCTTTTAAAAAATTATTTTTTAGGAAAATCTTTAATCTGGATAGATAGTAATATTTCTTTTTCTGTTATTTATATCTCAAGTAGTTTCATCCAGTTTATTACTTATCTTTTAAATTTTGGGGTTGTCATTCATTTAAACATTTTAAAATATTGATATATTCAAATTTACCTACCGTCTTGGTTACCTTTGCCTTTTGGATGTTAAGGAGGCTTCCTCTCTTTCAAGCTTGAAATGCATTCTCCTGTATTTTCTTCTAGTGTTTCCTTCATTTGGATTTCTACACTTAGACCTAGAATTTATGCAGACAAGGCTGGTTTCCTGGGCATGCAATCTGTGCAGCTGTATAGAGCTCTGTGCTTAGAAGGGCCAGCAAATTATGTGTTAATTATTTGTGATGGATGTGAATGAGGCAGTACATAGATTCATTAGGAATGTGTGCTTCGAAGTCAGAGTACTTGCAGTTGAATGTTGGCTCTGACATTCATTAGCTGTGTAGCAACATGCAATTCCCCCCCCTCCCCCCTCAAGGTCACAGAAGACTTTATTTTGCACACAAAACCACTGGGATCTTGCCTGTGGACACCTCGGAGATTACAAGGCAGATGCACTTGGCTCCAGAGAAGCAAGGTGAGAAGAACAATGATTTGGACCAGTCACATGACTACAGACAGGGCTAGGGTTTCCACCAGGGTTCCGATGTCAGTGGTAGTTCTGGGAAGCAGTGAGACCACCACAAGGAGGGCAGAGGCAGAAGCCCCTGCAGGGATCGCTGGTGGCCTTGGGCTGCCAGTGCAGATGGCAGCAGCAGAGGTCTAACCAGCCAATTAGTGACCATGGGCTCAGCCAGCCTGCCCAGAGCTTGTTTGGCCAGGGGATTTCTGAAGTCCCTGCCGGCAAATCTGGCCTTGCTGCCCAGCTCCTCCTGGATTCTGAGGACCTGGTTGCCTTGGCCAAGAGCTCAGATGGGCCAGGAGCACAGCCTTGATCTGCCCAGTGCAGAGCCCCGCCACCAGGTCGGCAATGGAGGTGTCTTCGGAGGGCCAGGGACACTCCCAGGATGGCATTGGCACCGAATCCAGACTCATATTCCGTCCGTCTCTGTCATCAGCTTGTCGACCTTCTCCTGCTCCAGGACGCTCAGCTGTCTGCTAACCAGAGCAGGAGCCGTGGCTGATGGATGTGCTCAGCAGCCTCCCTTCCCAGGGTAGTGCGTCTTGTCATTGTCCCGGAGCTCGGGCCTCGTAGGTACCAGCAGGGCACCACTGGGCACAGCACCTCTGCAGAGACCTGGCTAGGCGTAGAGATCCACCTCAGCAGCGGGGTTTCCACGAGAGCAGAAGATCTCTCTGGCAGGCACTTTCAGAACAGACCTGGTGAATTTCTGAGCGCCCGAGAAAAAAGAGAGCTGCCTGCAGACAGGCAGAGCGAGCACTCAGTCACTATGCGGCGCTGCTGCAAGGACTCACATCATGCACATGCTTTAACCTTTCTATTTCTTAGGTTTTCTCATGTTTAAAAAATGGGGATAGTGACCAGATCCAGCTCATATCGTGGTTTTGTTTCGTGGGTATAATGTAATCCAGGTAAGTGCTCAAAGAATATTCACATTTTAAATGTTTTCATTTTCTTTTTGTTAAAGTGTTAAGACTTACCTTTAAAATGGATCTCTTTAAAACAGAACTGGTCAGGTTTGGTCCTGCAGGTTCCAAAGTCTAAAAGACATCCATGGAAGGGGATTGAAAGGTTGCATAGCCTACAGAGCACACTTTCAACAAGGCCAAGGGCTGGACAGAAAATATAAGCTGAAGACCAGAGAGAGGGGAAACAGGGGAAGAAAAGAGAGATCCAAAAATAAAGCAGTGAATTTCAACTTTAAAAAGCAAGCAACATTTTAAAAATTTGATTTCACAAATGCTATGTTTCATGAATTGGAAGTACTCTGAACTGATACTAATTAGAAATTAGGCCAGGTGGTCTAAATAACTCACTTGGTTAAAATGTGTTTAGTTTCTCAGTGCCTAATTAAATCAATTCAAAGTTATGTACAGTAGCCAGAAAAATTCATTTCAGCCATGTAGCCACTATTGGGTCTTCTTTTCAATTTCTAAAGCATCACATTATACTCTATAAATATTTATTGCTTGATTCATGTTTATAGATTGGTTATCTCCAATACTCATATTCAGTGGCTCAAAAATGTTATTTATTTTGGTTATGTGGAAATAGCCCAGAAATTCTTAAAACGTGGTCAAAATACATAAGAATAGAAGATATCATCTAGAGGATCTGTTTCCAAAATTGATCTTAAATTCGATTTACTTAAGCAGTTAGAATAAGTAGATTCCCAGAAGGAGCCCAGGAATCTGTATTTTAGACATGCAGAAACAGCAGAAGTTATGTGACCAAGATATAGCTATCGAGACCAGTTTTTGAGAGCCACTGGTTCTACCTAATTCAGGAATCTCCATTTTGATAACTCCTCAGGGAGCCTTGGCAAGTGGTGGAGAGCTCATCACTACTAAAACTAGCTCTGATTATGAAAGGTTCTTCTGGAATTCAGCTACAATTTATCTTCCTGTTCGGAGTCCCTTTATAATATATGCCATGTCACTCCTACTCATCGATAACTCAAAGAAGAGTTTACTAGACATTGTGTGCAATGTAGTTTATATCTCACTCTGGCACGTTGGGGTTAGAGGAGATCACTTTTAATAGAAATAGAAAATAGTTTGGCTGATGAGGCTAATTAACCTCTCCTGACTATTCTTCCCAGTTTCAACCTCATCTGAAGATACCCTGGGCATTTCACATTGGTTTTTCCCATTAAGCATGACAGACTTTCAGGCCATAATCAACTATCAATCCACAATTACCTTTTAGGATCTAAACTTACGCCCATTGATGAGCCATTTACCTGTATAAGTCCAATTATTTCCTATAATAAACCTGTCCAGCAGGTGTTGTAGTTGCCCACATTTCACATTAAAGAAAACTGATTTTAAGTCGTTTGCTCAACTGGCAGAGATAGGCTTCCAAGGGTCTTTGGAATTCCAAACCCTTGTTCTTAGTAACCGCACCAGGTCCTTGAAGCCATCAGCCTTCTGATGTCACTGACTTCTTTCTCTCCCTCCCAGAGGGTCCCTCCTCTCTCGGTTCCACACCCAATATCCATGATCTTGCTCAAACCTTGTTTCCCACATTCTTTGTTATGACTGAAGAAGATGCCTTCACTTTTAGGCCTTTGTGCTGACTGTACATTTTCAATCGCCCAAATACTTACACACATGTTCTCAGATCCCATTTGCTTTCTTTTAGTCTTTTTTTCTGTCTTAAAATGTATTGTTGGTTTTTAACACATGATATATTTTTATTTGACAATTACATTTCAAGCTTCAGATTATATGTAAAATAAATAGTTTCTTTACATGGTTAATTCTGAAATATGCTATTCTATTTTATAACTTTATTTGTTAGCTCATATTATGTTATATAATAGCTTATTCAGGCCTTGTTGTAAGCACCTTAATTAGACCACACACCATTTACATTATGCTTCTGTAATTTCTTAGAAAAATTTCCCTCTTTTTGATTTATGTTTTTTTTTTTTTAACGACTTACCACTTAAGAGGCACAATAAGACAAAAACAGGTCTGATGACAATCCCCATTCTTAGGTTTCTAGACAGAAAAGAAGAGGGAAGGAGAAATACATCCCACTGTTAAATTTCCTCTGGGGAAGTAATCAGTTACACATTTATGTTAGCTATTATAAAAAAGGGAAGTGACTGGCTAAGTTTTATTTATTTCACCAATAAAGTATAAATGAATTTATTCTGTGATGGAGGAAAAATAAGGTACCCATCTTTATAAAAAATTAACCATAAAACTTCTCATTCCAACAAACATTTTAAATTGAGATGTCTTCTCATTATCAAATACCACCCCTCCCTTGTTTCCCTAAATAGTAATAGCAAAAAATAAAGCAAACCCTAACCGGTTTGGCTCAGTGGATAGAGCGTCAGCCTGCGGACTGAAAAGTCCCAGGTTAAATTTTGGTCAGGGGCACGTACCTTGGTTACAGGCACATCTCCAGTAGGAGGTGTGCAGGAGGTGGCTAATGCATGTTTCTCTCTCATCGATGTTTCTAACTCTCTATCCCTCTATCTTCCTCTCTGTAAAAAATTAATAAAATATATATATTTAAAAATAAAGTGAGATAGAGGATATTTCTAGATTGATATTGTGTTTAAAAAAAATCCTCTTAACTATTAGCCAAGAAGTATTTATTATTCTTTTTATAAACTAATACTTTCATTGCAAATGATCATATTTATAAGACAAAGTATTATACAATATATAGTTAATAGTAATTAGTACTTATTAAAATGAAGAGAAAGACATTTTCAGATTGGCTAAAATGTAACATTTACTTTTTCATGATTTACCTACTTGAGGTATTGTGGGAATTTCTTAGATCCGAAGTTGGTTGAAGGAGAGCAACAAGTAAACTTTGTGATGCAATGAAGACCGTTATAACTGAAACCAACAAGGCAAGTCTCTGATCCACCAGGTTCCAAACAGTTTAAACAGTAAAAATGCCCAAGTGAAAACAGGTAATTTTTTGTTTGAGCACTCTGATCTATATGAAATTTAAATGCCTTAGTCATGAAATTGACATAAAAGGGTTAACTCAATCAACAGTTAAATTGATGAACTATAAATTTGGCTAAAGATTTTTATATTCACTATGGTACACATTAATTAGTTCACATGTGAATAGCCATGTGGGTACACTATCTGTTCATTGTATAAAACACTTGGTCTTGATTATTAGAAACATGTGTACACAGCAGAACTAGGTACATTCAGAAAGCAATTTGATTTTTGAAAATGTTTATTTCTAGGGTGAAAAAGGAGGCATATATAAAACTTTCAACAATTAAGAGTTTTAAAATGTTTATTTCTAAATTAATATATAGTTTTGGATTAATACATTCTTCTTAAACTGAATTAAAATACTAAGAATATTAAAATCTTTGACCATGCTCCCTACCAAATCCAGTGTCTTTCCAAATGTAAGCACATTGTTAAAATGATGAGTATCCTTTTTTATTCTGTGCATTTTTACAATATATTTTCAATTTGGAAATATGAATACTATTGCTTTTTGTTTAATTTTTGCAAAAATAGTGTTACATATTATTTCCCTCTTGTTTAATTATTTTTATTGCTATATAACATTTTTGGTATGGGTTATACCATTGTGGTTTTGATTTGCACTTCTTTGATGATTAATAATGTAGAGTACCTTTTCATGTACCAGTTGGCCATGTATTTGTGTTCTTTGGAAAAACATCTATTAAAATCTTTTGCCTATTTCTTAATCAGATTTTTGTTGTTTTGCTATTGAGTTGTCTGAGTTTTTGTGGCTATTAAGTCTTTAGTAAATATACTAGAGGCCTTGTGCACGAATTTGTGCATGGGTGGGGTCTGGCCAGCCTGTTCCGATGAGGGCTGATTGGGACTAGGCTGGTGCGGGAGAGGGGACATGGGTGGGTTTACCATCCACCCTGGCCCCAATCAGCGTCAGGCTGTGTGGGGGTTGGAGCCATAGGAGACCTGTCAGCCCAACCCCAAGAGGGTGCTGATTAGGGGCAGGGCCAGCCAGGGGCGTGCATGCGGGAGGTCAGCCAGCTGGCCTAACCCTTGATTGGGATGGAAGGATGGATCGGGGGCTGGGATGGCCAGGGAGAAATTAAGCCTAACTGTGAAGAATGGTGAGGAGTTGGCCAGGAGAGAGATGGGGGGAAAGAGGATTTCAGGCAGAGGAAATAACTTTTAGAAAGTACTTGCCTTGATAAGACGTGAAAGTATGTTGGTTCTCAAATGCTAAGAGAAAACCAATGTGATTGCAGCCCAGAGCACTAGTGTAAGAGTAATGAGAGAGGGGCAAGCCTTGCATGACCTTATGGGCCACCCATTTAAGGATTTTGGCTTCTATCCAAAAACAATGGCATTTTTATCAGTGATTAGGACTAGCATGATTAAATGTATAAATGTACCTTCAAAATGGGACTACAGGTTGAGAAAACGGGAGATGAGGGGGAGCAGAAGTTGGAATATTTGCATAAAAGAAAAAATGATCTGGGACACATCCTTTTTCAGGCTGTAATTCATGCCCTCCTTCTGGGGCAAATGAGCATTTCCAATAAACCCTTATGCCAGTTTCTAAGGATGGCATAAACACTTGTTCTGGATAGTGATACACACAGCTGACTACCAGCTGACTGCCAATCAAGAATTTAGTGACTTTCAACCAGACTGTTTTTTCTATATTTGATCCATTCTCATTTTCTAAAAAAAAAAAATTTCTACCAGAAAGAAATATCCTAATTGACTTACAAAGAGCATTTTTTCCTTGTATGCATGCAAGATCACAATAAGACGTTGACATATGGTTAATTTAAAAAAAATTCTTTGAAAAAGCTTCTACAATAGAAACAAGGTGAGTGTCCAAAAATTAACTGCCTTCCTAAATATCATCAATAAACCACTAACAAACACAAATTCTAAAAGACGCCATTTACAACAGCAATAGAGATAAGGAATTTGAAAGTAAATATAATAAATCATATGCAAGATCATTATGGGATTCCCAGGTGTCCTAGGCCTGTTGCTGCATAGCTCTGGTTTCCAGCTTTGCACGGCCTTCTCTCTGTCTTCTCTCCTGTCTCTACGGCATTTGCCTTTAGACATAACGTCCATCTGAATTATCCAGGGTGATAGCATCTTGAGATCCTTAATTACACCAAAGATTCTTTTTTCCAATAAGACCACATTCACAGTTTCCAGTGGTTAGAACATGGACATATCTTTGTGGGGGAGGGGAGCACCATTTAACCCTTTACCTACAGTGAAGAACCAAATAAATGGAGAATGGACCATGTTCAGATTAATGAAGACAAATATTGAAATGGTGTGAATCCTTATCAAATTGATTCAATGTATATCAATTATATCCCCAAAGAATTTTTCAATGGAACCTGATGAATTGGCTCTAAAAGGGACAGGTAGTCGGGATATTCTTTAGAAAGAACTGGGCTGTGAGATGTGACCGACTAGATATCAAGATTTATTTGAAAACTATACTAAATAACACCATGTGGTACTGGCACAAAGATATGAAACAGAAGTTGACCTGCACATGTATTGAAACTTGCTATATATGAAAGATGTGGCATTGCAGGTCAATGGGAAAATAATGTTTTTTCAGGAAATTTTTCTGAACAATGGGCTATCCACATTAAAAAAAAAACACACTGAAATCAGATCCCTACTTCACACGATATCCAAACATCAATTCCAGATATATTAAAGCCCTATATGTGAAAGCCAAAACTTTAATACTGTTTGAAGAAATTATAGAAAATGATCTTCACAACAGAATAGAAAACTTTTCTTTTTTCTTTTTTTCTGCAAAAAAGCTTTATTGTTTCATTTGGCCCCATGCATGGGAGAGGGCACCAGGGTGGCTAAAAGAATGGCTGGTAGTTTCGGGGAGAGGCTCAGGTAAAAGCCAGACACAGGAGGGTGCAGAGGGGCCCTCAAAGGCCTCCGGGCTCTACTGGACTGGCTCCTAGTCCGCTTGAGGGGGAGCCTTTGGAAGAGATACCCGCCCAGCCCAGCCTGCGGGCCGCCACCTGCGGGATGAGCCAGGTGTGGCCCATCTTCTTGATGAGTTTCCCCTCCTCACCCCGGAAGTGATTCTCCAGGAGCCACAGAGCTGAGGGTCCGCGGGTAGAACCAGGGCCTGCGGCTGCCGTGGCGTCCTGAGTTCTGCCCACTCTTCCTGGGGCGGGTGGGAGGGGAGGGGAGGGGGCTTCAGTGCGTCCTGGAGAGAATGCAGCCACCGCGCTGGGTTTGCAGCTGTAAGAGAAGCTCAGCGCCCTCCAGCTTCTTCTCCACCAACTCGACCCCCAGAGCGACGTCGTCCTGGCGGACATAGCAGCCCAGAGAGGTAGGTGCTGGGGCCGCAGATGCAGGTGGCCAGACCGCAGCCTCCACCGGGTGGAATAATTCTGATGGATTTGGTAGCTCATGGCTGTTCGGCAATGAGGAGTTCAGGTAGAAAAACACGGTGTGCTGGCTGGTCCCGGAGGTGGTTCTCAGCGGGGACTGGATGAGACGCAGGAGAGTGGCCTGAGGCTGGGAGAAGGGCTGTCCCTGGCTTTGCCCTGTCCAAACACTGTTGGAGCAAGAGACGGATCCGGGACTGCTGAGGGCACTGCCGGAAATTATTTCTTAAGCAAGAAACAAAAAGTACCAACAAAAAAGATAAAGATGATAGCCCTGGCTGGTGTGACTCAGTGGTTTGGGTGTCAAAAGTTGTCGGTTTGATTCCTAGTCAGGGCACATGCCTGGGTTGTGGGATCCTTAGAAGGGGGCAGCCAATCAATATTTCACTTTCACATCAATGTTTCTCTCTTGCCCTCTTCTTCTCTTTCTAATAATAAAAATATTTTAAAAAAATAAAGGTAATAAATTTGACTACATTAAAATAATGATTTTTTTTGTCTATGAAAAGGTAGTATAAAGAGAATAAAAAAACAAGTCAAAAACCTAGAGAAGACATTGGAATACATACAAAGAAGATTGAAATTCAGAATATATAAAGAATTTCTGAAAAAATTAAGCAAAAGGCCAACAAAATATATAAATTCTGTTATATCTATATATTCTTGTACCTACTAGTATGTTATATTTATTATATTACATTATAATGTTATATTTATTATATTACATTATAATGTAATATTAGGACAAATACATGAGCAAATATATATATTTTA